TTTTTTTTTTTTTTTTTTTTTTTTTTTTTTTTTTTTTTTTTTTTTTTTTTTTGCTGTGCAATTGCTGCTGAAGGTACTTCTGAGCAGCCGGGTCAGCGGGCTGTGCCTGCCTCCATTTAATAATGGCTGTGCATAACTTCCCTGCATCACGTTTCTCTCATCCGCGAGATGAGAGCAACTTAGCTGAGCTCCTGCTTTATTTATGAAGACCTGGGAGACTGAACATGCTTTGATAGGGATTGAATAAATTAAAATACTTGGAAGTCCTACATTTCGGTGTCATTAATTTGGAACTGAGCTTTGCAACTCTCGCTTTATCAGTGTACTGTAACTCGCGTAAGAGCCCACAAATTAGCATGGGCAGATTGAAGCTCCATCTCCCAGAATGGTTAACATCACTATTTAAATTTCATACACAGGTTTGTCTCATAGCTCTCTGGCAGATATCTGTTTCTGGTTTGAAAGATGAGTGGGGATTTTCTGAACTCCTTCTCACTCATTTTTTCCTTGAGACTAACTTGGAGTGCAAAACCTCTTTTCCAGATCAGAGGCTTTGAAACCGCCTACTGCATCGATAGCATGGGGCACACCAATGGTGGCTTCGCTGAGCTTGGGCCGTGCCACAGAATGGGAGGAAATCAGGTAAGGAGCTTGGAGGCAAGTGCAAAGGAGAGTCGCTTGCAGTGGATCATAACAGGACAGTTTTCTCTTAAGCCTGTATGTAAAGTCACTTACGTGCCTGCTACAAAAATGGGAGTTAGGGATTGTCCATAAGCACACTGACATTGCTAAAATGCAGGAATCAGAAAATGTAATTTCAAACACAAACAATGCAGAATTGAAGGCAAACTTACAATCTCTTCTTTAGTGAGCAGGTACATAAGGAGGCAAGAACTGTGTTTTAAAGCAACCATATCACTCCATTAGAACAACTGCAGCTCTTAGCATTGCTGCTGAGTCATCATTTATCTTCACTTAATAATTAATCCTTCAGGAAACAATCCCCTCACTCAATTATTTCACAAAGTTGTTTTGCTGTTATGGAAATATAAAACACTTTTGTGCAGTAACTCATCCTCTGCTACAGGAGACAAGAAATTGAATACGAATTTGTGCTTCGTTTGCAAATTAAACAGCAGAATATAATTACTAATAGAAGATTGCTGTCCAAGCTGCTGTCTGTCTGACCTGTGTCTTCACAAACCTACCCACACTACCACACAAACCTGCTGTTCTGTATTTACAACTCCTGTTTCAGTTGGAAAACTCTTTTCAACATTTAAAGTCCCTATTTATGCTGATATGGACTTGAACCAGGCAAGTTTTGTCATGGCAATCATGAAATCACATGCAGGATGATGCTTTTAAAAATCATATTTGGGTTAGCTCTTAGTAGTCCATGGAAATGTCTCTTATTTTGATATTCAATGAAAAATTTCCCTGAACTACTTTTTCTGTTTATGCTAAGCCCCAAAACCCTGTAACATTTATTTCATAAGAAGTAGCTAGGAGTATCTTTTTGTATCTGGATGCATTAGTTCGGTTTCCTCCGTGTGTAAAATGCCAAAGTTTTACTGTCTTCACATGAAATTACTGTCCAGGACCAAGGACTTGTTACCAGATCTTTAGGAAGATAGTGGATTGTTTGGCCATCAAACTGTGCAAAGGCTTTTAATCAAACACTTTCAGAAGTCCCCCAAATATGAATCCCTCTATTTTTATCATTTTTGTCTTGCTAGGTAAGTGTCTTAACTTTCCTGTAGGATTCAGAAGGCTATCCATGAAATTGAGTGTTGTGATAGTAAAAGTGCATTGCATCATGTAAAATAAAGAGCCCTGCTGAAAGATAGATGTAATAACACCAGAGAATATTTTGAATTATGTGATTTTGTTGGTATTTTCAGTGTTTCTAAAATAATCATTATTTTGAGTCTACTGTTAAAAAAGGTGGCTTTTTTTTTCTGTTAGCTTTTCCGAATCAATGAAGCTAATCAACTCATGCAGTATGATCAGTGCTTAACTAAAGGACCAGATGGATCCAAAGTTATGATTACACACTGTAATCAGAACGAATACAAGGATTGGCAATACTTCAAGGTAGGCAACAGATATATAGCAGAAAAGAAATTATTTGCATCCTGGTTTTTTGCACTTTTTAAAAATTATGTATATCTGAAAATAAAGTTCTACAACAAGGTTAACTGAACCAAGCAGAGTAAATAGTTAATTGCACATTCTCAGAAATCCATGCTTGCCAGGAAAACTTTCTCTAGGGAAAGGTGCTTTTGCTAGCAGTTCTACTTGCTGTCTTCTGTAGCAAAATCTTTAGGGAGAGTCTCATGAGACTACATGTGCTGCCATAGGTGTGTTAGGAGTTAGCACTTGCCTCAGAGGAAGCAAAGAGGATGTCCACTACCAGTTTCTAAAGGAGTTTCTAAAAGCTTTTTGTGCCATCACCCTCTCGGCTTGTATGCTTTCTGTCAAGAAAGTTTCTTCATCTGGTGGATGCTGTGAGAATACTTAAATGCTGAGTTTAGCAGCTAGGGTCAATGTTAGATCTAATTTTGGGAGGTCTAAAATGAAGTGTTGTTCTGTTTAAAGACAGAAGATCTTTTTATAAGCCTACACAGGTATCAGTAAATATAGCGTTACTCTTTGCTGTTCTGTGTTGTCTTTGCCTTCTTCAGTATTTCTTTTTCCTGTTCACTTTGCTGTTCTCTCTCGGCATGCTCTGTTGCGAACTCTGGGTGTGGCGCCATTATAATGCTGTTGCAAAATCTATGAATTTTTAATAAAGACTTGGAATGTTGGCTGATACACGTGCGAGGGCTGCTACAGTCTATTTAGTCACTACATCTGTAAGTCCTCTATTAAATTCTAGTTTTGAAAGCGTTATTCTACGAAATGTCTAAGGTTATATTTCTGTTCGTCTTAAAAAATGAGGGTGAATAGTCTAAGGGTGACGTTATCCTTGGATATAGCCACACATAACTTGGTTCTGTGTCTAAGAAACTGTTCTGTGTCGATTTTTCTTTAGTCTGTCTAGTGTATTGCACATTTATTAATTCATTAGCTGGTTATCTGGACTGTGTTTCTCTGAAAGACGTAGGCACTGTTGAGTGCCGCCAAATCTGTTTATTATCCTTTAAAGCCACCCCACTTTTCCTGATATTTCAGTAGAGCTCAGAAATACCAAGCACCATAATGCCATTTCCACACAGCTTTCTTGTGCCATATAGACAGGCAAAATTCTTTAAACATGAAATTTAAAAATAATAAGCAGTATTCCAGTGCCTGCCGACTTCTGCTTTAATAGTGGAATAATATATAGCACTTGTTAACTCTCCAGCCATTCTAGTGTGTCCCAGCACGTTACTTGGCTCTTCTCGAAACATTTCTTTTATGCAAGAAGATCCATTTCTTCCACAGTGGTACCAAGTTGTGTAATTGTTTGCTTTTGACCCCAGGTTACAAGGAAGCCCAGTAGGCATGGTCTGGGCTGTAGAACAAAACACTGACTGGCTTCCAGAAAGGGAAAAAAAAAAAGGGGGGATGAGAGCGAAAGGACCACCAAGGGTGTGTAAAACCAAGCAGATACTAGAAATTTGGCACACTCCGCTGTGCAGTACGGAGGGCATGACCGCTCCTTCTAATGAGGAGGGTGTAAGAAATGAAATGCTTATGAACTGCTGAAAAATCTCGTGGCCTCGTGTAAATGAAAGCTGCCAGGAGATTTTATCTCGTTGGTTGTTTCTGGAGTGAATGTTTGTGTGCCAGTGTGGTGAGCCGAACATCTGTGCTGCCTGAGCGTTGAGCAGTAGCAGGGCTTCGGCGCCCGTGGGCAAACACCTGGGACAGGGCCAGCGGTGGTCTGATCATTGCTTTTTTGGGGCATCTGTTTGCCTCTCCAAGTAGAGGACCCCCATCCCATGTCTGGCCACACAGCAGGAGTGGGTATCAAGCTGAACCAACATTTGGATGCGCACACGCCTGTGGGAGTGACGGCGTGAGGGAGGGGGTTCCCTGTGCCGGGGGGAGCATGTCTTTGCCCACAGGGCAGGGCTGCGGCGCCCTGGCCCGGCCGCAGTGCTGCCCATTTCCTTCTGCTCTGTTGCTCTGCAGCTGGTCAGCGAGTCAGGGCTGCGTCTGGTGCCGGGGTCAGCAAGCAGGTGAGAAGCCCCAGGCCCCTTTGCCTGAGATTTGGGCATAGCATCACAGGGGCGTGCGGAAGGAGCCAAACGTGCGAGTCTCAGCCGGAATGTGCCAGGTGCAATAGGTCTGCAGCCACTTAGGCAGCCTCCTATGGCTCTGGAGGCCAGGCTTGCTCTCAAATCTTCTTCTCTTCCTCTTACCAGATGTGAGGGCTAACCAAAGGAGGATCTGCCCAGTGAAGTTAGTTCTCATCTGCCCGCTGAGTTAGCTGTCCTCAAGAGTTAATCTTTTCTTTTGGTTACAGGATGGATGAAAAGGCTGGAAGCATTTTAGACACAGTTTTGCTCATTTTCTTAGCAGTTTGTTGCCTAAGAGAAATGGAAGGCGTTTCAAGTGGGCCTACAGATATCAAACATTTCATAATATGAAGGCTGTGAAAATCTAGGTTTAACAAAATAGTAAAGCGAGTATAGAACTGATCTATTCTGGGCCCCTGGAGCCTGCTTTTGTAAATAGCTCTGTTACAGTTGTGAAGAAAATGTTAAAAAAGAAAAAAAAAAACAACACATGTTGCTGATGATTTTGTTTTCCAGAATCTGCACAGATTTACTCACATTCCATCAGGGAAGTGCTTGGATCGCTCCGAAGTCCTCCACCAAGTTTTCATTTCAGAGTGTGACTCCAGTAAAGCGACGCAAAAGTGGGAAATGAACAACATCCTTAGTGTGTAGACAGACAAAAGCTACCTACTGACACATTAATTTGTACAGGACTGAAAATAGCCTGAACACTGCTGCAATTATTAAGTTTGTACAGCTGCGAGCCTCCTGGCTTGGATGAAGGACATAGATGAACTGTGATTATTACAATAACATTATCATCCGCAGTTAATGTTTACAAAACTGCTTTACCTTAAACTCTGTAGATGTTTACATCTTTTTGTTTTAAGATGTTGGTAAATTAATGTGCTGTTAGCTATGTTTCATAGGAACATAGTTAAAAGCATTGTCGTCTTCTTTGGGATTACACTCAGGGGTCTGAAGGCAGTTTTTTTACACACACTTGAAAAGGTTGGAGTAACCAGATTTTCATAGAACTTGGTGATTATCAACCTGTTGTATATTTTTATTTAATTTTACATCTTACTAAGCACTGCCACAGGTTATTAGCCAGGGTGGCCTTCTCTCACAATCATGCTGCTTTTTTGGAAGGTGAATTTCAACATATTTAGTGCCTCTTTCATTTCTCTCTTTCACAAGAAAAGCGTTTGTTGGAAATTATGCGATGGATTTTTTTGAGCTGTCACCAGGGGTAGGGACCAACCATACCACCCCGTGTAATTATCATGTTACAGAAGATAAATTTCTATTGCCGGTTTGGCTGCTCTACTCCGACTGGATGCTGTGTATGGTGCAAGGAAGAGCTTAGTGTTGAGTTTAGCACTGATGTGGTACATTTTGATGGCAGTAAGCACCCTTGTGATTCCAGTTAAGAATTTATAAGCACTAACTTGCTTGTTTAAACTATGCCTTACGTAAAAATAATTTTAAAAAAAAGAAATAAAGCTGCACAATTATGTAAAACTTAGAAAGAATCCAATGCTTCATTTGTATTGTTATTTTAAATGGAAATCACTCAGAGGTGGACTAAAACTTCTAATTAGGAAAAAACATCCAGCTCCTTAACACATCTATGTAATTCTTTACAAGGACATCTCTCAAATAGTTTGGATACCAGATTTAGATTTGAAAAGAGAAATGGAAATCCTGAAACCGCATTTATTCATCAATTTTATTAATTTCTTCTTATTTTCGTCATTGGAAACTTTTCCTGAGGGATTACAAGCGCAAAATAGAACCACTTGGTGCTATAGTGTACAGAATAGAATGTGAAGAAGTTTCTAAAAATGTTCTGGAAAGGAGTTTATGCGAACTCCCCTAGGAGTATAAATATTTACTCTGAATGAACGGTGAGGTGGAGGAGAAATGACTTATCCTCACTTCCTTATTCCAGATTTTGTGACTGTTAAATGTTGACATCGGTGTACTGATTTCATAAGAGTTATGCCTATAACATGTCACACTATTAAATATGACTAAATACTTCCCTGAAATCTAGAATAGCATTGCATGCAGCTTCCATTGATGTTAACAAGGGTTATGTATCATATTTGGTGACAGAGTTTGATCTTTATAGGGCTGTCTGCACTGATCTATTAGTTTGGGATCTTTCCTAGTTTCTTTAAACTTCTCATCTATCCTTTCAGAGCTATGAAAAATAGAAAATAAAGGAGGGAGAAACTGGAAAAAAAGGAAAGTAAGGGTGTGTGCCGGTACTTGTTCCTTGTGTGTATGTAAACTGACTCCATTTTTGTGTGTTGGGTAGATTAATTTAATCATACTACTATGCATAAGAGAAAGAATGGTGGTGCACAAATTGTGCGGGTGTGCATTTTAAATGGGTATTTTGTGCAATTCATTGAAAGCTGATGCTCTATGTGAATGTGAATCTGTATGTGAGACTGAAACCTTACAAAACACGAGCTCGTAAGAAGCTGTTGCTGTAATGACTTTTTCCTACTATAGCAGGCTTGGAGAAAAATAATTCCCATATTCTTGCTTTGTAAGTTGATGATAATATCACTATGCATTTCTACATATTTTATAAATTTGATTTATGCAGATTTTGATACACTGTATGTTTCTGTAGAAATTGTATAAATCTTTAAAAAATTTATTAGGGATAAATCTGGGAAACCTATGTATATCTTACTTATGGGTTGCTTGTTTTTTAGGTGAAGTAAATAAAATATTTGAATTCTTGGGTTTACTATACTTTTACAGAGTAAAAATGGATTATTATCTATATAGAAGCCCCATCGCTCTAAGTCTAGACAATTTCAGTGTTACCAACTTAAAAATATTGAAAATGTTTTATTTCGTTTTTTTAATCTAGGAACCTTTTGTCATATCTGTGGGGACTCAGGGTTTATTTCCAGTGAAGTGAAAAATGAAATTCCCGCTGAGAGTTGCTACATATACACATTTGGATTTCTGTACCACCTGTCCTGATGTAACTAGGTGTAGATTTAATATGCTCACAGAAAATGAACTTAAAAATTATTTCTAAAGTAGAGCCAAAGGTCAGGACTAGTTGGTAGTGCTTTGACTCTATATTTTACCTTGGTCCGTGTGTGTTTCCACCATCAAACGTGTTTCAGTCAAACTTTTTTTTCTTTTCCCCTGAGAAGGTTTCTTAGCAAAAGAACATGCAATTAATTCAGGACACAGAAGATACGAGTACTGGCCTAAGAGCAAACCTAAATGCTGAAATCTACAGTGCTTTCTACAGATGAAATTCTTGTTTCCCAGCTATGTCTGTCGGTGCACTTCTGTGTATTAAGATTTCAAAAGGCTCCTTTGGCGAAACCCTGGGGGTATAGCAGCGGCCAGTTCATGTAGAAAATACCCTTTTATGTATGGAAACAGGGACTGATGGGAAGGAGGGGACATCTTCCTTCATTACCAGAGATCCTAGCACCCTTTGAGCAGTACCAAAGGTGTTCTCCCCGTTGATGGCATCCTAGAAACCAT